TTCCTGCGGCAGCGGCCCCATGAGCGCGGTGCTGAACGGCTTGAAACGCGTCTGCTGCTGGACCACAGCCGTCTGGCAGAGGTTCCCCAACCGAAGCAGCACAGGGCAATGGGGAAAAAGCGGCGCTCCTCGGATAGCCTGGACATCTTTGATGCACGAACTGATAGCCGATGACACGACGAAGTAGTCAAGCTCCCTTCCTCCTCCGTCATGCTCCGTCAGCTCCTCCTCCTCCATATCTTCTCCCATGGCAGTCCTAGGAGCGCAGGCCGAGCAGGTTGCCTGGCCAGTAGCGGCTAGCACACCGTGCACATGCTGTATCCAACCTGATAGCTGGAGAGCCGCGGGCGTGAAATTCCAATCACCTTGCACAACCCACGGACGCTTACTGCACAATAGAAGCGCTCCCAAAACTTCCAAAATCTCTAGATTCTCGCCCGTCACGCCTATGTCGTTGACGAGATAGACACTGTAGATCTCAAGGCCCTGGTCGAACCCCGCATTGATGACCCGACCTACGATCCTCCCGTCGAACCTGCCCAATCCTGGAAGATCCAAGGGCCTCGAAGCAATCTCCCCAGCGACCAAAATACCGACTCCTCCAGAGCTTTGCAGGGGCCCGTCGCCAGTGCTGAGGGCCTTCCCGAGGGACACCTGGTACCCATTCCTGCGGGCCCAACTCTGGGCCGAAATGATCTTGTCGGGGGACTTCAACCTTGTCTCCTGGAGCGTGACCACCTGGAACTTGCTTTGGACCAAACCCCAAGAAGCCGCCCCAGACCCTCCGACGTCTGCTTGATCTCGGACCCAGTTCACTACAGTGTCTGCCGTAGACCAGCTGTTGACATTTGCTCCAAAAACGCACAAGTCAGCAGATCCCCGCGCTACACCAGAGTCACGATCGTCCGCAAGAAGATTACGAGCGGGAGGTACTTCCGCCCTCCCGTCGGATTTCGACCGAAGTATTTTCGAATCCGCATCGGGCTCCACTTGGGGACGAGGGAGGCCACGCACACTGCCAGCCAATCTAACTTCTGCGTCTGGAAGCTGCGCCAGCAAAACATCCTGCCCCCCCTCCCCACGCGCTGAGTCCCCCGCCTCCTGTGGAAAGGGTGCCCTGGGGGTGGGAAGGGCAGGTGGCGACGACTGTTGCGTCCTAACGCCTCGCGAAGAACAAGCCGTCGCCGCCGAAGAAGCCGACCCCGCTGCCGAAGATGGCGACGCCCTCTGAGCTGCCCGTGTCCCCAACCCCGAGGAGCGGGCCAGTTGGGGAGCCACCGCAGGAACCTGCAATACCGATGACGCCGAAGGGCCGCTGCAGGCACTCGAACTCCCCGTGCATGCGGGCAGGGGGGTTCGACGAACGGGGGCTGAATCCCCTGCCCCCCTGCCCTTCGGGCCGAGGCCCCGTCGTGGCCGAGCCGCGTGCAGCCCCAGCGCAGGCCAAGCCTGGAGGTCAAGAGCTTCTCCAGCGCCGGCCTGGGCCAAGCCCCCACGACGCCAGATCGGCGCAGCCAAAGCCCCCGAGAGGGCCTGCACAGGCCGCGGGAGCAGCGACGGCACCGCGAAGCCGATCTCCTCCGACCAGTCCACGTCCACGACGTTGTGGTCCCAGAAGCGCTCGAGGTCGTCAAAGCCTCCGCGCACGTTTGATCCCCAAGGCTGCGGCAGCCTGGGCGTACTTGCGCTTGGCGGCATCCTGAGCTTCTCCTGGGGAAGCTTGCCTGAGCTCCTCAGCGGCCTTCCTGAGGTCTTCTGTACGCGCCTCGATGTCGATGTCGTCTTGGCCCAGCAACTCCATGTCGATGTCATCTCCATCTCCATCAGCTGCTGGGATGCCTTCACCTCCTCGCGCCCCTTCGGCACTGCGAGCTCCTGAAGCTGCATCGCCGCCAGGAGGAGCGTTGCCGCCTGGACCGCCAGGATGCTGAGCAGGAGCACCTCGAGCGGCCACCGCTTCCTTCTGGCGCTTGTCCAGCACGGCCAGGGCTGCCCTGACCTCGGCGTCTTCGCGGAGCGACTCGTCCAAGGCGGCCTCGGTGATCTTGACCAAGTCCCCGAGGTCAGTGGCCGACACCTTGGCATAGACACCTTCAGCTTGTGACAGGTCTCGGCGAATCGACTCCACAGAGGCCTTGATGGCTGCCTCTTCCTCATCGAGGGCAGCACGACGCTCTTGAAGCTTGCGTAGCTGCTGCTCGAACTTCTCGTTCTTCTTCCGCAGGTTCTCGACCCGCCAGCGAGCCGTGACCACGGAGGGCGGGTGCTCAGCGACTTCACGCTGCTGCGCAGCTGTGACAGAGGCCACAAGCTCGCCCTGGATGCCCTTGGCCTGCAGGAAGTTGATGACCTCCTTGAAAGACGGGCCACCGTTGCCGCTGCCGCCGCCACTGCCTGGAGGGGCAGACTGAACTTGCTGCTTGTTGTCCTTCTCCTTGTCCTTGAGCAGGGCGTCCAACTGCTTCTGCATGGCTTGGATGGTCTTGGCCTGGGCGTCGCCTGGACCACCAGGCGGGCCATTGGCCCAACGACCCTTCCCTCCATTGGCAGCAGCTGGGCTCCCCTTTCCACCTCCCTTGGCGCGGTTGGCTGCCGCTTGGGCCGCCACGAGCACGCGTTGGGGGCAGGAATTTCCACATCCTCGGCACTTGACCCTGCTTGCCCAGTTGTCAAATGCCCCGCACTTGCCACATCCCCAGAGGGGGAGATGCGGCCCTGGAAGCACATCGGGCCCCATCCACGACAGCGAAAGCAGTGGACAGGGGAAAGCTTGGCTCGCGAACGCGGCGCCTCTCTGAAGTACGCGTCCGCAACTCTCAAAACCTGAGAGCAGAAAGGCTAGGAGGAAGGAGGAGGAGGAGGAGGAGGAGGAGGAGGAGGAAGAGGAGGAGGGGAGGAGGAGGAGGAGGAGGAGGAGAAGGAGGAGGATGAGAAGAGGAGGACGAGAGGGAGGAGGAGGAGGAGGGAGGAGGGGAGGAGGAGGAGGAGAAAGAGGAGGAGGAGAAGGAGGAGGAGGGAGGAGGAGGAGGAGTAAGGGGGGGATTGAGGAGGCGCAGCTTGGATGAGGACGAAGGAGATGAGGAGGAAGATGAGGAGGAGGAGGAGGAGGAAGACCTTGATGAGTTCTCGGCCTCCGGAGCCCGCTGCACCATGCTGACGAGGTCGACACGACCATTTTGCCGCGCTGTTCGGGACATGCTGCACGAGTGGGTGGGGGCGGAATTCGCGGTGGACGCCACGTACTTGGGATTCAAAGTTGGCCCAGCCCGGTGTGAGGCCGAAGGAGTCCAAGCAGTATCCAAGTATCCGTCCCGTATTCGCTTGTGGTCAGAGTTCGGGCTCGGTTTGCAGTTGAACATCAGGGCTTATGATATTTTGCAGCCCCGATATTGTCACATTAGTGGCAGTTTTGTGATGTGTCACCCGAGGTTCTGGCAGCAGAGGCCGCTGCGCTCTCGCCACTTTCTGCTGGGCCCAGCGAGTGGCGTACAGCAGCTGACGCACACAGTCTGAAATCATTGATCCCGTTCCCGGCCTAATTCCGTTGCCTCTCGGATTGCGCGTGGGCCACCAAGCTCCGCGTAGCAAATACTATTATACAAGGTCGCAGTGCAAAGTCTGAACAATTAGGTTGGGCGCCCTTGGGCTCGCAGTTCCCTGTGCGTGCGGTTGCATGGTCAGAATGGTTTGTTTCCAACTTTGCTTCTGTAGTAGGGTCAACCACGATCCGTGCGAGTTCGATGGGATTCTGGACTTCCGATATCCTGCGTACAAGATGTGATTCGATACGGGCGCTTCAGGCTTGCCTGAATCGCATCGAAGCCCGTTTCCGCCACAAGCTGGCCAGATGGTCGCCTTCAGTTCCAATCGGCCGTCTCGCCCGCAGAGCGCCAACCATTGAACACTACGCCTGCTGCCAATTGTTGGCGAGGCTAAGCTGCAGATACCTCGGCGTTCAGGGCGTGAGTCTTGAGAGTTTCCTTTGCCTTGGCATTGCTCGCGATGAGGAGCTGAGTTTAGCAACGCTCGCCACATACGCCGTGTTCAGAGCGACAAGCCATTTCCGCGGTAAGCCGGCGCCAGATGCCCAGACCTGCTCTGTCGCTTTCGAGCATTGGTGCAAGACGGGCGCGGCAGGTCACGCCACATTGATGCGTGCACTCGACCAATCATTGCGGAGCCTTTCATTCTGCCGCTCACTGTTGGTCCCCTTTCTCCTTCTTCCGCCTTTCCTTCCCTTTCCTTTTTTCTCCTCCCTCCAGCGGGCCTGGTGTTGTATTTCAGTGTTGTTGCCTTGTCCCCCAAGCCAATGTCCGCTGCGTGTCTTTGCATATCAGAGGTCGGCGCACGTTGTGTTCCTGGTTTGCCTGGCGCGCCGCCGCTACTGTAAGACAAGTCTGTTTGACGCTCCCAGTCTGTCAGACAGTTTTTGTTCGCACGGCCGACGTGTCTGTTAGACAATTCTGTTCGGCACGGCCGGTCTGTGAGGAATTTGCGGTCCACGGTCGGAGCTTGCGCTCAGAGATCCCGTGGAGGAGGAGTCCGAGAAGCAAATTCCTGCGACCTGTGCGTGAGGGACTGGGGCTATCAAGATACGGCGATGAAGGGCCAAGCGAGAGCCCAGGTTTGAAAAGAAGCCGTCCTCCGTGCGTCCACCTGTTGCACAAAGTTGCGCGTCAGGTGCACGCTGCATTGCCAACTGATCATGGGCGCGCGCGGTAATGACGCAACGGCCCTGGACGCCGCCAGACCGACGGGTATCCTGAGAAGCAGGCAAGCAAAAGCGACTAAAGATTGCCCCAAGAGGCAAGGATCCAAGGACACCCTTGGCACATCGCGCGTCCTTACCATGCGCGCTGCCTGGAAGGCAGACTGAAGCGAGAGCCCCACCTCGAAGAGGAATCGCTATACGTCTGTGTGCATGTGGGAGACTTGTGGGCGAGAGTGCGCGGCGCGGCGAGAGCCGGTTCTACCTCACGCGCCCAGGGGCCCGCGGCGAGTTCAGGCGCGCCGAGCCCCTCGCGGCCGCGTTCTTCATGCCGGCAGCGGCCCAGCGAGCAGCGGGGGCCGCCGCTCGACGGCGCGCCGCGCGCCCCATAGTAGGGCGACGAGGTCTACGCACGTCCACCGCCGCTGGCCGTGCCCACCCGGGGCCCCCTCGGAGCGGTGTTCCTGCGCCCCTCGTGGCCCTGGGCTATAGGGAGGCACGTGCGCCGCTCCGGGGCCCCGGGTGGCCCAGGCCCGTGGCGGTGGACACGCGTGGATCTCGTCGCCGTTATACCGCGGATTCTGCGGTTCCCCGGGCGGCGGCCCTGGGCGGCGGGTTTCATGTTGGAAGGCTCGGGGGTGGTAAAAGGGTGTGAGGTTTCGTTTTTTTCCTCGGGAGGGGGGGGCGTCGGTTCCGGAGAGGGGGGGGGATTTTTGGAGAAGGGGGGCGGTCCCCGCTCCACGGGGGGGGGGTATGGCACCGGTTCCGCGTGCACAGAATTCGCTCTCTCGTGGGATGCCCTCTCTGACGCGGTTGGCCCACGACGCGGCAAAACTCCTGCCAGCCACACGGTCACCGCTTGCAAGATGTGGGCTCGGACAACGTATCGTGTATCTTTCTCCAGCAAGCTCTCGGGGCGATAGTTGCTGAACAAAATGCATCTCTTCTGCGTGTGGGCCGCCATTTGCCACTAAGAAGTGGACGAGCATGCTCCTGGCCCTGGCAAAAGACCTTGCCCGAATTGGGCGTCGAGTAATGTGGGTGCGATACATACGGGGGTGAAGAATGGTGAACCTTTTGCACCCTAGCTGTGCCCTAAGGGAGCTCCTTGGGGCCCAGCGGGGGCAGGAAATGTGCATTTGTCTCCTTCATTTACAGTCAACACTGATAGCAAGGATGGGCGACATCCTAAGGATTCCGTCGCATCCTTTTCCTTCGGCCCATCCTTGGCCACTTTTGTTGGCCGCGCCCCGCTCGAAAAGTGTCGCCAGGGCCTTCCAAAGGCCATTGCATCCTTGTCGTGGATCCTTTCTATTAGTTTTGACTGCATCGCCTCACATGTAATTGACGCCCGGCCGAAGCCCCGCTCCCGCTGGCAGGTGCTCGTCGGGCACGTGGCCGAACACCTGCACCAGGCCTGCGGCCAGCCCGCTGCTCGCCCCTCCGCGGCGCGTCGTGCTGGCCCTTCACGCCCGTCTTGCCCCTCCGGCGGCCGCGGGCTCGAGAGGCCGCCATGTTGGAAACGGAATCTGGGGGAAACGGGTCTTGAAATGTGTTGCTGTTTTTGTTCGCGGCTCTCTAGGAGACCCTCGGTCTGGCTAGTGAACCCCCAAGATACTCGAATCTGTGTCACGATGCTGGAGAAAGAGAAAGGATGAGGAGGAAAACGATGAGGAGAAGGGATAGGAGGCGTGAGAGCGCCCAGGTCTCGTGCGGCAGACCGCATACTCCACAATGGCCTGGCCTCCGATTCTGAGCTGCCGTTGTCTCGACTCGCCCTGCTCCGAGATAGGCTCAGGGCAGCGTGGCCGCCGGAGACCCGAGCTATGACCCGAGAACCGAGACCAGTCAACATGTGGGGGGTGCTGTGCTCAGGGGGCAGCGCATCGACCCGACCCCCCGATCGCCCATTGACCGTAGACGCGCTAACGGTGTGTTAGCCAACGGCGATGTAGGAACACCAGTTGTAGGAAGGCGTGGTCCGTGGCCGAACCAATCGCAGGAACGGGTAGTTCGTGTGTTCCTAGATTTGCTGTGCCGGTTTCGTTCGATACATTTCGCATAGTTGAACTGTAGGAAACGGTGCTTCGTGATTTCCTAAATTTTGCACTGCGTGAGCTCGGTGTCACAAAAACCAGATTCCCAACCGCACCGTTAACCAAGCACGCCGTTGGCGCGGCTTTGGATTGATTGCCGATACAGTGGGGGTGCGCATCAAGAAACCATATGGTTTTCGTCAGGGCATCCTGGGTCTTATTGCACCGCGCGCCGCGCGGTGACTTCCCGCAGCCGTTGAAGGGGCTGCTGCGTTCAGGATGCTCAGGGTTTACCTCTCTGGTGCATTTCGCGCTCTGGTTTTCAGGGCTGGGTTTCTTGCGAGGGTTTTTTTGCGGCCGCGCCCGCACTGAAAGGGCCCGATGGCCCCACCCAGCCAGACAATATGCGCAGTCGCTGTCCGGGGGCCTGTTGCCGATCCATCGGCGATGTATCGCCAACTTCAGGTCGACAGAATCCCCCCTAAGCCAGTCTACCCCTCCTCGTTCCCTCTGAGAAGTGCTCTGCATGGTGCTCGCGGCGTCGCCGAAAGTCAGAGTGCGCCTTCATGTGTTTCGCCTCGGCTTCCTCGGCTGTCTTTTAACTTGAGCAGGGGCTGAGTGAGCGCATAAATGAAACCACCGAGGGAGGCGGAGGGGAAGGAGGAGGAGGAGGAGAAGGAGGAAGACGAGGAGGAAGACGAGGAGGAGGAGGAGAGATTGTGTTCGTTCATGAGTCGACGGATGAATCTTTTTCACCCGCCAGAGGGGGGAGGGGTTGGAGGAATATATGTCGTTCCGTTCACGTGTGCCGATTTGTTGGACACTTTGGATTTGCGTTTGCGAGGAAGGAGGGAGCACATTGAAGGAGCGTTTAGGTTTTCGGATGCTTCTCTGCCGTTTGGGGGAGAAGGGTGAGGATCGAGGAGAGTCGAGGTCTTGTGGTGCTTTCTGTATGTCCCTGTGTTTCGGGAGACCTCTGTAGAATTGTAGGGTGCCTCCAGAGAACTTGGGATACCTCCAGAAGCCTTCGGCGGCATTCGGGGAACTTCGGCTCCTCCTTCTCCTCGTCGTCATCCCCGTCCTCTTCCCACAGGAAGGCATGGAGGTCGACTCTGGAGCCCGTGCGGGTGATGGATACGCACATTTTGTTGTTCTGTATATCCGTACCAACCCAGCATTCTGGGTGGCGACTGTTCGAGGGGGCATGGGAGGTCGTCACACCTGACACCTCGTGTCTTCAGGGTCGAGAGAGCCGTGTTGATGATGATGATGATGATGATGATGATGATGTTGATGATGATGATGATGATGCTGATGCTGCTGATGCTGATGCTGATGCTGATGATGCTGATGATGAGGAGGACGAGGATGGTGAGGATGATGATGAGCATGAGGATGAGGATGGGGATGATCAGGATGGTGGTGATGGTGGTGGTGGGGTTGATGCTGATGAGGATGGTGGGATGATGTTGGTAATAGTGATGGTGATGTTGAGGTTGATGGTGATGCTGCTGCTGATGATGGTGATGAGGACCAGGATGATGATGGAAATGCTGGTGATGATGATGTTGACGAGGATGCTGCTGATAATGTTGTTGATGATGATGCTGAGTATGAAGATGGTGATGATGCTGATGATGAGGAGGAGGAGGATGGTAACGGTGAGGAGGAGGATGCGTATGAGGATGTGGACTAGCATGCGGATGAGGATAAGGATTATGAAGGTGATGAGGATGGTGATGAGGCGGTGATGATGATGATGATGATGATGATGATGATGATGATGATGATGATGATGATGATGAGCCTGCTGAGTATGATGAGGATTATGATGATGATGCTGATGATGATGATGCTGTTGATGATGATGATGGTGATACAGACAAATGTAATGACGATGCTGATGACACAGATGAAGATGAGAAGGAGTTGGAGCAGGAGGACGAGGAGTAAGAGGAAGGCTGTCACACGTGACACCTTTCGTCTTCACTATTGCATTAGCCTTCCGGTTGGTGGCGCCGACCCTGAAGGCGGGATTTTCCTAGGGACCCCTGCTGACGACCCCCCCCCTGGACTTGCCGGGACCCCGGGGGCGGTATTCTGACTTGGGACCCCCACGCACCCCACCCCACCCATCCCCCACCCACCCCTCCACGCACACCCCCCATTCACCCCCCACCAACCCCCCACCCCCCTGGAAAGGAAGTGATAGAGGGAAGGGGCTTCCCTTCGACTTGACTACGGCGTTCCTGATCCTTGTTCCTCCTTTCTAAACGTTTCGCGTAAGTCTTTGGCGCTGCACGTGGACCAGTTCCTCCTGGTCTTTACGGTTTCGGCGTTTTCGACCTGTCCTGGAGCGTTCTTCTCGCCCCCGAGCTGCAGCGTAGTTCGCTCCTGCGTGCCCAGTGCCCATTTTAAAGCTTGGCGCGGCTGCCTTGTTACTTTCGGCGCGCGGTCGTACCGTTAGCGCTCTTGATCAAAAAGATAAACCCACCAGCCTCTCCAGAAGCGATGCCCTGGTGAGATGCCCTGATCGAAGATGTGGAGGAGCACGCAGTGGAATAATGGTTGGGAAGCCGGCGTACCCCAAGAGGAGGAGGATGGAGAAGGATCCAGAGCAGGAGGAGTAGGAGGAGGAGGAGGAGGGGGAGGAGGAGGAGGAGGAGGAGGAGGAGGAGGAGGAGGAGGAGGAGGAGGAGGGAGGAAGAGGAAAGGAGGCGGGAGGAGGAGGAATAGGCGGATGAGGGAGTGGGAGTGGAGGAGGGCGAATAGAAAAGGCCTCTAGGGTGCTTCTCGGAGTCTCTTCGCATATCTCATGGTAGCTTCTTGTAGGCTTCTTGGGGCGTCTTGGGAGCCTCGTGGCGGTCCCGGGGGCCTCTGGAAGCGTCTTGGGTGCTTCGGGGGGGCCTTCGGGCCTCTTGGTGGTCTCTTGGGAGCCACTTGGGGGCATCTTGGGGGCCTCTTGACCTCATGGGCGCATCTTGGGGCACTCTTGGGAGCTTCTGGGGGGCATATTGGGCCATCTTGGAGGTGATCGGTCAAAGAAGGAGGGGTCTTCCATTATCGCTGTCTACCCTGGAAGCCAAGTTAGCCCAACGCTTTCATGTATCATCAATGATTTCGACTTTCTCGCCGAGGCCATCTTGGACGCTCTAACCCCTCGCGGCCCCCCTGTCCATGTCCAGGGGGAGGGGGTAGCCGGGAGGGGTCAAGGTACCCGCCCGCCGGCAAACCGTCTGGCGCACGCCCACCCGCCCGTCCAACACATGAGTATCACCCGAACCTGAGCATGTTCAGCGATCGTCTTTGGATGGACAGCTACTGGGAACCAAAGCCGACCCCCGGTGCGCGGCACCCCTTGGGCCCGAGCGTGCCAGGCACGCCTGGTGCGCCAGATGCGCCACGTGTTCCGAATGCGCCAGGTGTGCCGCACATTCCAGCCGCGCCACGTTCTGGGCACGTGCAGAGTGCGCGAGGTGCGCGCGCGCACGTGATATCACACATCGGGAAACATGTCGGCCCCCGCCGTCCCTGTCGAAAACCAATGCCCATCATTGTGTTTGGTGGGCCTGCGTACACCAGGCCACGCGCCACCACCCCCGCCGTCCCTGTCCAAAACCACTTGACATTGATCGCAGGATGGCCGCGCATGGTCCCCACTTAGACGCGAGGTGCATGTTGTACTGTTATTTGTTTGTCAGGGATGGTAGCCCTGCGCGCAGCAGGAAATATGCTTACATCCCCGCCGTCCCTGCCAGAAACAATACACAATGCTCGCGGGCCTCACGAATATGATTCAAAACTTTGCCCGGAAATGTACGTTGCATTGTTTTTGACAGGGATGGTGGGGGGGGGCGCATCGGGTTGGCCGCGCATGCTCCATCTGTAGAGGCAAAGTGCGGTTTTTGTTGACAGAGATGGCGGGGGGCGGGCCCGCATGGAGTCGGCATGGTTCCGCGTTGGCCGCCGGCCGTGTGGGGGAGGGGGTGTAATTCAATAAGAAACAGTGTGGTAAACCATTCCCCAGAAGGCGAGGTTGGAAGAGGAAATCCCCTAAACCACTCATGCTCTAAAGGGCTGGTGGGACGACGACAACAGCGTCGTCCACACGCCGAAGTGTCGGCGGATTCGAAGAGCTCTCATGGAGAACGGGTTGGTCGTCTTGGGGCTGCCTTGGCCTCCTATGAGGCAGCAATGGGTGTCCGTTCGGGCCATGTTGGTCCGTCTTGGGGCACGAACGCCGTTTTGGGGCTCTCATGGGCCGTCTTGGGAACTTCTTGGTCCTATGGTGGGTATTTGGGGGTCGTCGTGGACCGTCTTGGGCCGTCGCAAGGCCTTCTAAGGACGTGTGGGGTCCCACGAGAGGCTCTCTGAGGCCGTCTTAAAGCCGTCGTGGATGCCTCTTGGACCATCGTGAGGCCTCCTGGGCCATCCTGGGACCCTCTTGGGGGCCTCTTGAGCTGTTTTGGGACTATCGTGGATGCTTCTTGGCCGCCTTGAGCTGGCGTAGGCCCGACTAGGCGAGAATGCGAGCATCAGTCAAAAACTCATGGGAAATCGCTGATTTGGGCTTCTTCGGACCTTATTGGAGGTCCGCTTGTGGCCCATTGGGGCCCTCTTTGAGGCATCTAGGGCCGTCTTGAAGCCAGTTTGGGCAGCCATGGGGCAATCTGAGGCGGTCTTCGAGGCATCTGGGACCATCTTGGTGTCCTTGCACTTCTATAGATGCTCCACTCTTGGCACTCTTGGCCCTCCTTGGGCTGGCGCGTAGGTGAGCAAGGGTATGGGGAACATGTCGATCGCCCTTCCCGTCCCCGCCGTCCTGGCCAGGAGGAGGAGAATCACCACCTGGAGGAGCGCATGAGGCGCATCGAGGCCCGCCTGACGCCCGCCGGCGCCGGCAAGAAGGCGGACTGAGGACAGCCTGCCCGGGGTCTGGGCACTCGTCCCCGCACATACGGCGGCGTGGTTTGCTCGGGGTCCCCACAAAAACGGCACGGTGACCGCGCCATGTCGTGAGTCAGTGGGGATTCGGGGTCACCGCGCGGTTTGGGGGCTCTGGCCGTTCTCGGAGGACGTCTCGGGCGACTGAGGCCTCCAGGGTCCCGAAACGGATCGTGGGCGGGCCTTCGGTGAGGTCCTTCGGGATTCCGAGGGGTCGCCGCACGGTCTGCCACCACACGGCTTTGGGACTCCCTTGCTGCGCTCGAGGCCGGGGTGCAGGGGCGCTCCTCTGCGCTGAGCCCCCGTGGCGCCGCCTCCGGCGCCGCCCCCGGCGCGCTCCTCGCAACAGTGAGGGAGGTCAGGCGCAGATCCAACAAATCCGCGCGGACCGCCGAAAGATTCTGTTTCTCCGAGACACAGGCCTTCCATCCCGGGTGGTCGTTCCCTGATTGCCCGGGGATCCGAAAGGGGTTTTTGTACAGACGGGACACTGAAAAATACAGCAGTTTGGGTTCGGAAGGGTCTGAATGTTCCTGAGGGCCTTCCACGTCTGGTCTCTAGCGCTCCTCGTCCACGCAGGCGCTGCTGGGGCCAGAAAGGGGCAAGGGCTTCGGTCCCTACAGTTGGCGTTCCTTATTTCAGCAGCCCGGCTTCCTGCCCAGAACTTGGAACACCAGCCGCGGTGATTTTGACCGTGGCGTCGGGAAGGTTTGGGGCGCCATCCCAGAGGTCATTGGCACTTGGCGGCGCACAGAGAGGGGTAAGGGGAGGGGGGAAGCCTTCTTAGAAGGAGGCTGCTTCGTAGAATGCGCGGGCCTTGTCTGTAGCTCTCGAGCCAGCGCCTTCAAAGAAGCCGCCGCCCTCTAAGATGCCATCCATCAGGAGGGGAAAAAACACAGACACAAATGATCGACGACTCCCAAGAAAGTATGCAAAAATATGGGAAGTGGGGGGGAAGACGAAACCCAGAAAATATTGCAAAATATGGTGAATCCTGGGAATTGTGTGTATCTATTTGTGTGTCACTGGGCCCCTTTAGTCCCCCCCCCTTCCCCTCACTCCCCTCTGCGCGCCGCCAATGACACCTCGATGGGCTGCCTCACTCTCTCTCTCTCTCTCTCTCTACCGCGCTCGAGGCACGGGCCCTCTGACCTGGGCGCGCCCCGGACCTTCACGGGCTCTCCGCGCAGAGAGGAGGAGGACGAGGATGAGGACGAGGAGGAGGAGGAGGAGGAGGAGAAGGAGAAGGAGGAGAAGGAGAAGGAGAAGGAAAAGGAGGAAGAGAAGGAGGAGGAGGAGGAGGAGGAGGAGGAGGAGGAGGAGGAGGGGGAGCAAATCGGGGGGGGGGCCTCGCACGAACGCGCGAAAGAAGCCGCGCCTAGACGGCGCACTGGCAAACGAGTCAAGCGGAATCACATGCGATCAGGAAAAATGCAGGGCGTGCAAGCGCGCGGGCATCGCCGGGCCTCGGACTGCAGTGCACAAGCAAATCACGGGGGCCTCGGTAGCAAGTCACGGGGGCCTCATGCACCCCAGCAATTCTCGGCGGCGAGCCCGAGGGGGAAGTGAGAAGGGGCGGGCCTTCTCAAAAGGCTCGGCAGTCCACCAGCCTTCTGAGAAGTTTGCTAAGCCTTCATCGAAAAAACCGAAAACTTCAGAAGTCCCGCCGCCTTCGGAGAAGGCCTTCTCCTTCTCACTTCACCCCTTCACTCGCCGCCGAAATTCCGTCTTTCGAGTGCACTGGCGTCAATTGGCGTTTGCGAATCGGTGAGATAGCGCCGACTCAGCGTCGATGAGCGTCGATGTAGCTTGGACCAGCGCCGATTCGCAAGAGACAGCAAAATGGTGTGGGGTGCTCCCGCGAGGTTGCCGCAAGAGGAGGTCTCCCCCGCAGTTCCCACGGTCGCCTCGCGCAGCGCAGATCTTGCGCCACCCGACCTCTTGACCCCCCTTGCCCGGGGCAGGAGACCAGGGGGGGGCGGCGGGGCGGAACCAGGAGGGCGAAAGGGAGGGAATGAGATCTTCGTTTCGTGAGTGGTGTGGCGCGGCCCGTGCCCAGCACCGAGGTCTCCCTTGAGAAGACGAAGAAGCAGACGAAAAGGAATTACAATTATCCGGTCGAAGGGCCCAACCATATGCAGTTGTGAGTTTCGCCGTTGTGGGTATCGCCCTCGGTGGATCTCTTCATGGGGCCACGAAGCGTGTACAGGGTGTGCCGCAATTATGGAGGGGGGGCAGCACGCGAACCATGCCACTGGGGCCTTCGATGGAGCTGGGGCCGCGGAACGTGTGAGGGGTGTGGCCAAGTGGAGGGGGGCGGCATGCGAACCACGCCACTGGGGCCTTCGGTGGAGCTCCCTATGGGGCCGCGAGAGGTTTGAGGGGTGTGCCAAAGTGAGGGGGGCGACGTGGAGGAGGGAGGAGAGGGAGGAGAGGAGAGGAGCGTAGAGGAGGGGACGCGGGGACTGTCTCTTCAAGGCGAGGACCCAACACCACAGGATGGTTGGAAAACATTGGCCTACCACCCAGGGTTCATTTCGCTCCGATCGATCCCATTCGATATCGGCTCCGGCCAGCCCGATCCGATCCGAATTCGATTTTCGGGCAATCCCATGCGGCCGATCCGATTCGATGCCGACTGATGTGCCGAAGCGTCCCGATCCGACACACATTTGAGTCACCCGACTTCTCGATTCGATGCTGGCTGCTCCTGCCAGCAGTCGCCCCACGGAGGCTGCGAAAATACGGCGCCCTGTGCTTCTGTGCCAGACGTTGGGCGTCTCGGGGCCCGTCCGGATGCCGCCGAAAGATCCTCGAGGCCCCGGGAGCCCACGCAACACGAAAGCCGCGCCCGGAGGAGCCTTGGAACCCCTTTCCTGGACCCTTCCTCGATCGATCCGCGAGGGTCCCGGGTCCCGACGTGGGGCGAAGAGCATACACGACGCGAGGAGCTCCGAGGAGCCCCCCCCCCCGCACCCCCAGGAGCCCGACGCGCCCGCAGCGGGCCTCCCGCGGCACTCCTCCCCGCCCCGCCGCCCCCGCAGCGCGCGCGCGCGGCGGGAGGCTGCTGCGCTGCGCCACGGCGGCGGCCGCGCGCGCGCCCGCTCGGCCGGCGCGCCCCTGGTGCGCGCGGCGGGCCTCCCCGTTCCGCCCGCCGCGCCCGAGGGGTCCCTGCGCGGAAAGAGGGAGCGAGAGAGGGAAAGAGAGAGAGGGAGGGAGAGAGAAAGCAGATGTCACCGCGCTGTTTGTTCCGACGCGCGGCCTTGCGTCTTGGGGTGGTCGCCGCGGGCACCAGGGCAAACGCCGCCGCCGACGCTGTGGGATTGCCGTGGGGTTTGCCGCGGTGCTGGCTGCGTCGGTTTGGGCGATGAGCGCGGGGTTTGCAGTGGGTTTTGCCGAAGTGTTGGCGTCGTCCCTGGCGCGCGTCGATGACAAAAGGCGCGGCGACAGACTTCTAGAGAAGAATCGAGGTGACGATGACCAAGATGTCGCAGGATCGTGTCCATGCCGATCTTGGTCATGGTCCATGCCGGCCGTCGCCGAGTCGCGAGAATGATCCACGAATTGGCCTTGACCAAGATCGAGGGTGACAAAGATCGGCACGACGCTTCCGCGTGGAGTCTTGGTTCTTGGTCATGGTTCCCGTTTTCATCCCCTCCAAGACCGGCGACGCGCCGAGGGGGGAAGCCGAGAGGGGGCGTGCTTTCCCAAGGGGCGGCGGGGCTTCTCGGGAGCCCTCCCTGGCCGGCCTTCCGAGAAGCCCTCTGCGGGCTCGGAGGAGGCTCAGAAAGCCGCTCAGAAGGCCGGAAGCTTTGTGAGCCTGCTGAGAAGGCCCGCCCTTTTCAATCAAGGAAGCGCAGTCATTGATTGAGGCGCGTGCGTCAGCGACGGGTACCATGGCCGGCGCCCCATGGCCAAGCCAGGCGGCGTTGGCTTCATGCTTCGCCCCGGTCCATAATCCACACTGGCGTGCGCCAGACAGAAGACAGCGACCGCAGCGGAGCCAGGCACCCCAGGCGGGGGCGCCACATGGGGCGTTCCCGAAGGGGCCTCGCCTTCGAGGACCCGAGAATTTGAAGTCGCTTCCTCGGCGGAAGGCGGCGGAAGCCAGCTGACGTAAAACGAGGGCGGTTCTGCCAGCGGAAGCCGGCGGAGTCAAAAGAGTCGGCCTCAGGAGATTGCAGCTGTATCATGCCGGATTTCCAAACATCCGCCACGTGTATCCATTGATCCGATCGTTCATGTCTTCGACGAGTCTCCCTGGCGGATTTGTGCAATGACTGCCCTTGCACTAGTATCCACCCCTCCTGCCTCCGCCGAAGAAGACGCAGCTGCCGGTGGCCGGCGCCAGTGACGACGCCGCCTGCGACAACGACAGTGACGACGACGCCGCCTGCGTCGGCGACGACGACCACGACGACGACGACGGCGGCGACGACGACGACGACGATGCGACGACGGCGACGACGACGACGGCGACGGCTCCATCGGCAGCGACGACAGCGATATGATGGTGGCGGGGAGGGCATCCCCCCTTCGCTTGCTCCTTGTCCTCCCTCTCCCACCTTCTTCTATTCCGCGTCGCCCTCGCTCACCCCTTTCTCCCTCCTCTGCACCTCCAGCTTATCCGTTTTCTCCGCATCTTCCTCCTCCTCCTCCGTGTCTTCGCCCATCTGTCGTTGTTGGCGAAATTGCAGGAGCAAGTGTTTACGCTTCGCGAAATTCACCAGCCCATTCAGGAGCCCTGCCCATGAGAGCTGTCTGAAAATGGAGAGAAGAGAGACAGATTGTGAAACGGAGCGTGCAAGGAGAGGAGAGGAAGGAGGGTGTTGAGCCGTGTTGGAGGCTGTCTTAGAGTTTCGGAGGCCTTCTCGGAGCTACGGGGCTGTATTGGGGGATATTGGAGTCCTCTTGGAGCTCTTTTTGGGACATCTTGGGGCACTCTTGGGGCTCTTTGGGGGGTCTTGGGGTCCTCTTGGGGCTTTTGGGGGGCGCCTTGGGGCCCCCATGGGGCCCTCTTGGAGCTCTCTTGGGGCTCTCTTGGGGCCTCTTAGCAGCCCTGGGGTGGCGCTTGGGGCTGTCGTGGAGGGTGTCGGTGAAAGGAGGGGGGGCACTAACGTCTCGTTCCCCCTCTGGAGCCATCAAAATAGCCTCTTGGAACGCTCCTTGGGCCTCTCTTTAGGCGCTCTTGGGCGGTCTTGGGGCCGTCTTGGGGGCTTGGAGTTCTCTTGGGCCATCTTCGGGCCACCTTGACGACTCCAAAACGCATCAGAAGCGAGAAGGCGAGAAGGCAAACAGCCCTCATTGTCCTAACGTTTTTGAAGGATGTTGACTTCTCGGGGAGGTCCTGAGGGGTCGCCAAAAGCACATGGAACCGTTTTATGGCCCTCTTGGGGTTTCTTGGAGGCATGTTGTTAGCTATCTTGAGCCATGTTGGGCTATCTTGGGCGTTCTTGGAGGCCATCTTGGGCTCTCTGAGGCCCTCTTGGAGCCATCTTGTGCCATCTTGGACGCCCTGACGACTCGCGCCCCCCCCGTCCACCAGAGGGCTGGAGGGATTGCATTTGTCAAGCGGTCGATATGCACTTGTAGGAGATGAGACACCGAGGTCTGCCTGGAGGCTGCTTCTCTTTCGAGCCAGTCAAGTTCACCTGCATGGCATTTCCTCCACACCGCTCAGACGCCTTCTCGAACAGCGCAGGGTTGAAAAGGCGTGCGAATGAGTCCTGGCATGCCTGAGGCCCAGATTCCATCTCGGGCCTCGCCATGCCCCCCCCACCCCGCCCATGCCGGCACGCGAAGGCTGGAAGCACATGCGCAGGCTGGGCCCTGGTCGTGCTGCACGCGCGGTGCTTCCGGCCGTGGTTCCTTCGCCGGCCGCGCCAGACTCGCAAAAAAGTGGCAGGGCGCGATTCTTCTGGGGCCACATCTGAGGTCCTTGGTCCTTTGAGGTCGGGGCCCGGGCTCCCTGCGTGCAGCCACTGCGCCTGCGGCGATTCCGGCCCTGCGCGCCTCCGGCCTCTCCGCAAGCTTGCCGGGCTCCAGAGGGCAAGCATATACAGTCGGGGCGCTGAAGAAGGAACCCTTTTCGTTGGGGAGGGGCTCCGCGTTCCTCAAGTGTTTCGCAGCTTGCCTCAGGTTTTCCTTATGTTTTCGATCGGAAATCGAAGTGTAACTTATGGAAAGAAGGGGCCTCGTTCCTTATGTTGGGTTCCTTTGGTCAAGGCCCCGACTGTATCCCCCTTGGCGGTCGGCCCCCGGAGGCCCCGCGCGGGGGCCCCGTGAGGCGGAACAGCCAGCGGCGGCGGGGAGAGGGCGCTGGGGTCGGAGGGGATCTCTGTCTTTGAAGCCGACTCCCAGACCTCTCCCGGTGCATGTTCTCATCAGGGTCCCGTGGCGGACCTGCCCGAGGCGAGGAGAGCGCACCCCATCGAGGCCCTAAAAGTGACCGAGGACCTAGACCCATTACAACCTGCATGTTCGGCCCCAGAGCTCCGGGGTCGATGTTTGACGGCCCTAGGGCCAGGAGACGACCTCTGGGAGCCGGGAACGTCAAACAAACATGCCGTCACGCTCTTCTGCGACTCCCGTCATCTGAGGACTCGACGACAGCGTCCTGATGGTGCCTTGACGACGACGACGAGAACGGGCTCGAGGCTCGAGGCTCGAGGTCGAGGATCGAAGGGGGGGAGGAGGATCAAGGATCGAGGTTCGAGGATTGAGGGTGGGGGGATCGAAAGGCTGGGGAAGGACGATCGAAGGCCGAGGAGCGACGAGGCGCCGCCGCGCCTCCCACCCCCCGCCCCCCGCAGGGAGATCGCTCGGCGGTGGCACCCGGACAAGCACCGGCACAGACCGCAGGACCACCAGGAGCGCGCGAAGCGGCGCTTCGCACGGGTGCGGGAGGCGTACGAGGCCCGGCCGCGGCAGGGGGATCGGGTGGGCGTCGGGGGCGGCCAAGAGGGGGGTGACGATCGGGGGAGGCGGATGTCATACCATGGGCCATGCTATTTCCTCAGATTTCATGGCGCCCCTTCTCATTCCATGACGTCCCTGGTCGCCCCTTGGGCCGCCTCACATGCCGCCGGCCATGATT